ATCGAACTTTAAAATCAGATAAAAAATTACTATAGCACTAATTCAGCCCCCTTTCTTAGTGCCATTATGATTCTAATAGATGATAGTCCATAGATAATAGGATATGTCAAACTTATTGAGTTCCACCTATCATTTAAGGAGTGTGTCGATAGTGTCCGAATTCGAGAGAATCTATAGCTTCGGTTGGTTTGTCAATACAAGAATGTGGTGAGCTTGGAAATATGATTGAAGCTTCCTAGTTAGCTTCTTGAATTTAGGATATTGAGTTTCTATATCCTAAAGCACATGGTTGGTGTAATACACCGATCTTTGGATTCGAGTCTCCTCTTTGATTAGCACCAAACTCATAGCTGTCGATGTTATTGATAGGTAGAGATACAATGACTTTGACGGTTCCTCGCTATGGGCCATGAAATTGAGGAACATACAAGAGCCAATGCCTAACATGCACTTTGAGTGATTTAGCCGCATTTGGAACCTCTTAATTGTTGCAAATGTCTCTCCTAGATTGGCCAAGTGGGTGTCCACGGTCTAACCCATCACCAACATATCACCATGTATACTGGAATATTTTGTTGACCATCCATTAGTAGTAGGTAGCTCTAGCATTCTTAAGTTTGAAAGGCATCACTTTATAGTAATTAATATAGACTCTTGTCGATGATAAATGATGTGTACTCTTTATCTTCTCGTATCAATTAGTTATATCCGAAGAATACATCCATCAAAGTTAATGATTCATGGTTAGAGGTGAAGTTAACTAATTGTTAAGATCAGTGTAATCGACACACGTCATTTTTCATTATTTTTCTTTACAATAATTGCATTAGTGAGTCACTTGGGATAATGAATCTCACGAATAAAATCGACTTACAATAATTTGCTCACTTCTTGTATTACTAGTGTGGATTTGAAATGAACTTTCGGGGCTTCTATCGAACGGTTGATGCTCGAGGTTACTATTGAGTATGCCTCAATTAATCCTGGGCATGTTGCTTGGTGACCAAGCAAACACTTCAAAATTCATGCATAAGAAGTTGACCAACATAGTTTTCTTTTCATCTAATAATGCCGACCCAATCTTGATAATTTGGTTTGGTCTATATGGATCTAATGGGATTCATCCAAAGGCTCCGCTGCCTCTAGATGGGGTTGTCTCCCATGGGTCTATTCATTGGACCGATAGTGTCACCTTCTTTGGTAGAGTAACCAATAGCACTACCTTGATTTCCTTGGGTCACTTCTTATCTCACTTATCCTTAACTAGGATAGTGACGGTGGTAAGTGTATATAGTGCAGGTTATTAGGGAGGAAGTGGTTCGTGGTTGTCAAATCTTGAAATAACTGACGAAAGAGTAGATGATTAGGAATTTGAAAAGTGAGAGGGGCTGGTCCGACGATTGTTAGCAATTGCGTATCGGGATTAGGGAGTTCAGCACAATATCATTTGACACTATTGGATTCAATCCATTCGGGTCCTTCAGGTTTGGTTGAGATAGTCTAGCAAAGTTTTCTTGAGATATTTGGATTCAACCCATTTAACATATCTTGAGATATGTTAATCAATAGTCAAATTTTGGTTGTTTAAGGTTGAATAAAGTCAATTATCATCGACTCGATTTGAACCCTACAAAATTACATCAGAGTCCTCTTGATAATGTTTCTTTAATGCTTAAATTAGTAAGCTAGACAGATAGATTGAATTTATTCTAAGCTCAGATTGTATGTTGAGATGTCCTTGTGGAATATCTTTTATAGTGGGTTATCAAAGTCGTTATCTCTGGATGATATGTTGCTCGTGGGAACATGGTGCACCAATCTTGGGTGTAACTATCATTGATCCGCATCGAGTTCGGGATAACATAATGTTCTGACATGTGTAGATCACATGGTAGGGGTTGATTGATTGGTGGGACAAGACAAAGCCACCACATAGTGGCTACCCAATGTCGACGGGCAAGCCACCCGACTTCGAGGTGTCAATCATGTATCGATCACTCGATACAAAGGTGTCAATCACTTGGTGCCGATGTTGTCAGGGTATCGACTACTCAACATTGAGGTGTCACCCATATATCTATCATCTAGTACTAAGATGTCAGTCACCCGATACTTGAATATCTAACTAGTATCGAGATATTGACCATTTGATGTCAATGTGTTAATCATATAACGTCGAGATGTTTATCGTATCATTTTATCTATAACAGTAATGTTTCTCCATTTTTACCTTTTACCTTAATTTTATTTTATTGTGTGTTTTCCTTGACTTTTTGTAAATTGGTTTTGAAGTAAATAAAATTTTTCTTCGGCATCTGTTTCAGCCAAAACTTCCGTCGAACTTCCCACTCCCCCTTCCACATTGGCACTTGTGTCGTATGATTCCGTCAGAATATACTTCCGTCAATGTACATTTTCATCACTATTTGTTTCTTTTTTTGTTCATTACATACAAACTCAACATATATGAAATTTAAAATTTCAATTGATATGAACATAATTTACAATGGGGACTGAGCTTAAATATAGATTTAGGCATTGCATTGCATGTAAGGAACATGACAAACATGTTAATCATCAATAGTAAAAAAAGTTTTACAGATTTTAACATAAACAATCAAACATTCAATCATAAACATCACATGCATGACCTTAGATGATTTAGAGTTACAATATCTTTGAACGTGTTACATTATTTTTATTTTGTTAAATAAAATATATAATAACTCACCAGCTTGTTTTGATCTTTTGCATTATATGTAAACTCAAGAAATACAAAACTTGGAATATCAATTGATATGTGGACAAACTTAGATTTAACATTTCATGCAGGAGAATGTGACAAACTACATGCTAATTATCAATAATAAATGAAAAACCAGGAGATTTAAGGTGATAAAAAGTTAGTTACAGTTTAAATGGTTACAATATTTTTGTTCACTTGTAAAGGAAAATATTCAAAACATTGTAACTCACTACTTGCAGACTTTCTTGTTCAATTACAAAAAAAAAAAAAAAAACATGGTAACTGTGTTTTGAAATATTATAAATGGCTACTCTCAAACTCATTCTATTCCATATAAAATCAAGATATATGAAACTTGAAATGTGGAATGGGCACAAACTTGAATTTATGTATTGCATGCAGAGGAATTTGACAAACAACATGCTAATTATCAATAATAATTGAAGCTCTCTTTATCTTATAGCATAAACAACCAAATATATAATCGTAAATATCACAAACACAACCAAATTTTTTGTTCACTTACACAAAAAAAAAAAAAAACTATAGATATGTTCAAAAATAATATAATTAACTACTCACACACTTGTTTCAATTATCTATTGCATACAAACTCTAAATATAGGAAGCTTGGAACTTTAGTTGATATAGACATGATTTGCAATTAGAAGTGGGCACAAACTTAGATTAACGTATTTTATGTAGGGAATGTGACAAACAATATGTTAATAATCGATAATAAATAAAAAAAATCACATATTATAACATAAACAACCAAATATTCAATTATAAACATTACATGCATAGCCCAAGCAGAAATATTATAGTGTTTTTATTGTCATACAAAGACAATATAACTCATGCATGTTTATATTTTTCCATTGCATACAAGTCCAAAATATATAAAGCAAACTTGTAAGTTTGATTTATATAAATATATTTGGAATTTGGAGTCAGCACAAATTTAGAATTAGGCATTATTATATGTAGGCGAATATGATAAAGTTAATTATCAGTAATAAATAAAAAAATTATATATATAATCAAACATTCAATCGTAAAAGTTATATCAGGTGTAGCAGGAGACAATTTAAAGTGATAGGAAGTAAATTATAGTGTTTCTGAATGTGATTATAATAATTCTTTTGTTCACTTATAGAAAATACTATGACTGTTAAAAAATATGGCAAATGACTACTCATACACTTGTTAGAATATTCCATTAAATAAAAATTCAAAATATACTAAAGTTGGAATTTCGATTTGTAATGAGGAAGGGGGAGAAACTTAGATTTAGACATTTCAAGTGATTGCAAGTTATTTTTTACAGTGATTATTCAGTTATCCGAACAAAAATAATACATAAAAATAATATAGAAACAAAAAATTTAATTTATTATATAAAAATAGTAGGCACAAAATGTGTTTTCCAACGGAAAAAGATGTTTTATAACAAAATTATATATATTTTTTAGATATATTACTTTATCTAATGTAAAAGACATAAATATCGATAAATGATGACTTAAAAGATAACATTACAAAAGAACACAGAGAGAATGGAAAAAAAAATTATTTGCATGAGTTTCATGCACACAAATGAATCTCTTCTTCAAATTTCATAAAAATCTTGTTCAAAAGTTAACACACAAGGAGAGAAAATTTCATACCAAAGTGGAAGAATAGAAATGGGTTGCTCGATTTGAATGTGAGGAGAGAAAAAAATATATTATTTTTTTGTGTTAAAATCTAAAATAAGGTTTAGACCAATCAATAGGAATGAATGATTACAACCGATTCAAATCAATAACCTTTGGATCAGTCCATACCAAAAGAGCGGCAGCTAATATACCAAAATAATCATTGCTCATGACCACCTCAATGTATTGAAAGCCCAGCAACCAAAACTTGATGCCTAAGATTGATTAAAAACCAACAATCACCTTAAAAAGAGAATCAATAACTTTGATGACGAGGAAAAAAACATCCTCAAATCTAAAACGCGTCCCTTTTTCATCGACAATTAATACTAAAATCATCTCTTAGATCCCAAGGGAAGTGGAACATACAATCTCGGTTGGGAGAAGAGAAATTACCTGTGATCAGACTCAACAATAAATAAATGTAGGCCTTTTGCTCCAAGTTGCCTAAACTCGAGGTTAATAATGTTTATTTAATAGTAATTAACATCACAGCAAGATTAAATAATACATCAGTGAAAAATAAGGTAATAAATAAATAAATAAATAAAACGAAGATGCGATACGGACCTTAGAGGCTGCATGCATTTCCTGGATTCTGTAATCCTATTTATCTCAAAAACAATTATTATATAAAGGAGTAACGATCTCTCCGTCTAGCCCACCGTCCCATCTGCATCGACTTGGGGGATCTGGGCGCTCGTAGTGTGTGACACCGTCTCCGTTGGGGGAGGTGACTCGGTAATTTCTGGGGAACCACTTGGGCTGTTCACCGACTCTACGACCGGAGGGGTGCCGTCTGATTCATCAACTTGCTCTGCAATCGGAGGGGTGCCATCTGATTCATCAACTTGCTCTGCAGTCGGAGGGGTGCCATCCGATTGATCAACCGGTGGAGGTGCTTCCAATGCTAGCAGTTTATCTCGGGTGCCATCCGATTGATCAACTGGTGGAGGTGCTTCCAATGCTAGCGGTTTATCATCCGATCGATCAACTGGTGGAGGCGCTTCCAACATAAGCGGCTTCTCTGTTTGAGAGTTTGACGTGTCGGGCGTGGTAGTAGGGTCGCTCTGGATTGGAGCAGGTGGAGGAGTCTGTGCTGCTGCGGAGGGACCCTGCAAAGCGGTGGCAGAAGTAGTGGCAGTAGCGGCCGGCTTTTTACCAATCGTGATGGGAGGAGCCGAAAGAGATGCCATCCCAGGAGGAAGTATTTCTATGGGAGGCTTCTTGCCGGCTTCTGCTAGGCTCGTAAACTTTGGTTCCTCGAGTGAGGCCAAAAATGCTGCAGCTGCATCAGTTTTAACAACGGGCGTGTGATCGAGTTCCTTCTGTAGCATCTTGTTCCAGGCCTGGACCAAGTTCCTCATTGTCGGGCGACCATGGGCCTAGGAGAACCAAAAAATAAAGATATGTTATCATGCAACACTGACAAAGTATATTAAGAAAGAAAAATACACAAGGAAACATGCAAACAAGTTCGAACATCACCGGGAAGGAATTCACGTTCCCTAAACAATGAAACAACCTGCATTTCCATTTTCTTGGAAATTTGTGTTCATCAGTTATCAGGCTGAACTAGCATTTAGATACCAAAACAATGATAATCTTCTGCTCCATTTTCTTTTCTCATCGAGATGGAAAGGGAAAAAGGTCAGCACAGAAAGATATGCAATTTTCAGTTGCCAAACAACTTCCGTAGACCCAACAATATTTGATATTGGAAAATTCACATGACTGAGAGTTACACATGTAATTGAAAAAGCACAAGACACACACTTACATGAGCATGGAGTACAGCCTCTGCAAGCATCCCAGTGTCCAGCCACGCTTTCTCCATTAGGGCATTATCTCCCAAAACTGCTGCAGAAAATGCAGCTTCTTGGCCATGACCGGCCACGATCAGATTAGTTATCAACCCCTGAAAGGTTCAGAAGAGGAACATTTAGTGTTTCAGTAAATCGACTGAAAAAACAACTAATGGAGTTTCAGTAAATCTACCATTAATTTCTTTTATCTGAATTGCCTGGTGATTTGCACCTTAGATTCACTTAACTGTTGATCATATGGCCTTTTGCACAATTAAATTGTCAGGTGTTCATTCACCTGACGGTCACTAAAATGTTGATCATGTGGCATGTTGCATGAAGCTCACAAAAGACAACAACAAGATAGATTGCATTGCTATATAATTCGACGTAAAAGTAAATCAGTAAAATTCTCAAGCAAATTTCAAATAGAAAACCATAGTTGATAATTAGTTGCAGTCAGTCACATGGATCCCTTTCATGTCATAAGCTTTAAACTTATTTGCCATTCTCATCATTTTTCAGGAATGCAAACAATTCTTCCTTAATTTGTCTTGGTAAATGCACCTATCCAACTTAATGTCCTCATTCTACATATGCAAATTTTGGGACACATAATTTTCCCAACTTCTGAGGGTTTTGATTCATAAACATGTATTTCGTTACAGTGGTCTTATTAAACTTTCCTTTTATGCATCAACTGAATATAATTTCCTTATGGCTTCTGTCAGATCTTTCATGTCCAATAATCTATCAAGCCAAAAAAGATAATTCATCAAAAGTTGGTTAATGACATATCTAGGAGGAAACTGGAGAAAATTACTGATTATCATCAGTAATATGGAGCAAATCATATGCAACTAAGTTTACCTAACACGACAGAAAAGGAGAGATTTCCTTACCTTCTCAGCAATAAATGCACATAACACAGACTTCTCAAAGGGTAATATCAAATCAATGAACGCAAAATGTACCCTTTATTTGTGAGACCATGGTTCATTGCAATACCTTCACCAAGACGATCATCTTTGATATGCTGCTTTCTTATCATGTTGTACTACATGTTAGGATATCAGAACAGGGGTTTGGTTTGTGTTGTACATTGGAAAGAGGGTAATCCTCATAGGTTTTTATATGCTGAACCATATCCATTTAATTTACAGGTCCAGGTCCATAAGAGATGCACAACTCCTCAATCACCCTATAAACTATGATTTGCACCCCAATGGGCAAACATCTGTAAATTTTAAACACACGACTTCTTTAAAATATCATTATAACAAAAATATTAAGCCAGTCATTTGTCACAAATCAAAAAGGGTGTGCAGTTATATAGGATTGATCTTAAGAAGTATCAGATACTTCAAATAGTAATATATTATATTGCATCAAATTTCTTGTTCGCCAAAAAATCCTCGTCAAAAACCAAGAACCTTATATATTGTCTCTTATGTCATTGTGCCTCAAGTAAAATAGTTCATAAAACATTCTAATACCTTAATTTAAGATATACCTTTGTACTTATTACATCCCTATTCTAGGAATATAATTTGACCAAGAGATTTTCTTGTGAAAATCAATCATTGTTAACGATACACATATACTTCATATGCATATACACACAACACTTGTACTGCTAGAGGAGAATAAAATTCAATATAGAATCATCCATTTTGAATTTATTTCCTTATTCGATTTGCAACCAACATATATAAAAAGAAGAAGAGGCTTGAGCAGCTCAAGCAGGCATCTGAGTAAAACCTTGTGGATTCAGCCCATGGGTTGGGCAGCTCAGTTAAAACTTATGGGTTTGCTTCGGGTTCGAACTAGATGATTTGGCTGAATTAATTTATCCAACCAAAATATCTCTCCTCCCCCCGTGGAAACAAGCTTCTATGATTGGGAGCCTCCAATCAAAACTTCTCCCTGACAACCATGGTCTTCTGTGATCTCTACTCGACTAAAACTTTTTATTGGAATAGAGGCATTGGTGTCAGCCAAAACTTCTTTTGTGATTGAAACCTCTCGTACAATCATTGGTGCTCTTCATCATGGTTGCAATCTCTCTTGCTTCCTCCACCGACTGCTTATTGGAAAATAGGCTCCACCATCCATTGAAGCAGTTTTCGCCACCCGCTAACTATATGCTCCCGGTTGGAGATGCTCTCCTTTGCCTATTTCTTTTGCTCGGATATATGTTGTCCTCCACCGCTTCTCTATCTTCTCCTTCTCTTTCTTCAATGATGTATGTAGGTAACACTTGCTCCCTGGATAAGAGGCTCCCTTCATATTTGATCCTCCCTTTAATGTCTTATTTTATTTTGAATCTTTTGATCTATAACATGCTGATTAGGATCATGTGATAAACAACATAATATCCCACTAAAATGGCCATACTAAAACACCATGTTGGTATTTTTATCTAAAACAACACCCTCTTAATGTTAGACCAACATGTTTTTGATATAAATCACTTGGTATTTTGATCTAAAACAACACCCTATTAGATCAATATATTGTTTGAACTAAAATACCTTAATTGGTATTTTGATCTAAAACAACACCTTAATTGGTTACTATAAAATGATATTCATTGTTAGTTATTTGAATTTTCTGTCAAGATGATTGAATTTCCTACAATTTTGCCTTCGATTTCAATCCTTTCTATACTCTAGGATCAATGGCAAATGTCGAGAGTGACTCAGAAGAATAATCAATATGAAACCTAAGAAAGAATCCAGGATTGATAAACAATCATCCAAGGTTTGCAATTTCGTATCGTAGCGGAGTATCGAGCTTAGCTCGGTATGGTATGGTACAAGTATACCGAGCGATACGTTCTAGTGTACCGCTTATATATATATATATATATATATATATATATATATATATATATATATATAAACATCGTTTTGTTTTTCTGCCCACGTGGGGCGAAGAAATGCTCGGTTTCCTTCTCCCAGTGCAAAAAAGGGCGATGAGGCAACGTCGCCTCGTTTCTTCTACCTGTGTGGGGAGAAGAAATGTTGACTCAACGACGCTCGGTTTCTTCTCCCCGTGACATCATCGAGGCTTCTTCTTCCCGCGTGGATGAGGAGAAGTCACCGACGACGTCAAGGCCTCGTCACCTCAAACAAGGAGGCGAAACTTCATCTGCAGCATCCAGCGAGGGAGGGCGGCGACAGACCAGTATCGTCGAGGGAGAGCGACGCCAGATCTCCAAGTTCTCCCTTTTTTTTCTCCCTCTTCTTCTCCCTCGGCTAATACCACTCGGTAATGGGCGGTGACGGTTGAAATCGATCGTCACCGACCAATTTCGGGTGATAACGGGGCAAAAACAGCTCCAATTGACTGTACCACTTGGTAGCGAGTGGTCCATGTACCGGTCTGTTGGCGGACTAGTACATACCACCTGGTACGAGTGGTATTATTCAAAATTAAAATCCTTATAATCATCTAAAGAAACCTAAAAATCCTAATATCTTATTTTTAATAAGAAAACTACTAAAGGTGATATTTTTCACATAAAACAACATCAATTTGGGAAAGAAAGTTAAATCAACATGCAAAAGGTCTACCTAATGTAAAACAAGAATTACAAGTGATCTAAAGAAAAAAAGATTGAATCTTCTCATTATTTACCAAAGCATGATGCACTCAAAATTTTGAAGATGATGCTGAATGGGAAGACTGAATGAGAAGCATTATTTACCAAAGCATGATGATTGAATATTTTTATTATTTATTCATGAATAACTAGGTATCATTTTGATAGAAGATAAGATGAGAGAGAATCGTTAAGATGGTATGGATATGTACTTAAGAGACCAATGAATGTGGTAGTTAGAAGATGTGAAATGATTAATGTTAGTGGTACGAGAAGAGATGGAGGAAGGCCTAAAAAGACAAATAAAAACTATAAATAAAGATTTAAATACTCTAAACTTAACTAAATATAGGATATTTTATATATCTTAATAACGACAAAAAATCCATATAGCTGATCCTAAATAGTTGGGACTTATGATTTTGTTATTGTTGTAAGCTAAATGGAAAGATGATATAGAAAATATCAATAGCAGCAAGAGAAGAGTATCTGATAGAGGAGAAAAGAAAGTCTATATAGACGATCCCAAATAGCAGGGACTTTTTATATATATCTCATTGACGACAAAAAATCCATATAGTCAATCCTAAATAGTTGAGACTTATGATTTTGTTATTGTTGGATGCTAAATGGAAAGATGACATAGAAAATAATCAATAGTAGCAAAGGAAGAGTATCTAATAGAGAAAAGAAAGTTGTTGTTGCTACCAAGGTATGCAATTTCGAATAATACCGCCCATACCGGGCGATACGTAATGGTCCGTCAGCTGATCGGTACATGGACCGCCCGTTACGAGAC